AAAAAAAAATGAAGTGAAAAAAATTCAAATTAAATGGATTGGTTCTTGGGCCCGAGTGTGGCACGAGCACGAGCACGGGCACGGCACGAGCCCGGCCCGGCCCATTTCAATATGGACATGGGCTTTGGGCAGGGCCGGGATTAATAATTTTACTAAATGGGCCGGCACGGCACGGCCCGATAAATTAAATGGGCCGGCCCGGCCCGACATGAAAACAATAAAAGCACGAGTTTAAATGGGATGGGCCGGCACGGCACGGCCCGTTTGACACCTCTAATTCACAGTGAGGAGTGTATTTTTGGGAGTGTAAATGCACTTTTACATCTTTGATAGGTATAAATATGTTTTTTGCTCTAATGGGAAACGATGTAAAACCACTTTTAGAACAACTCCACCAGTGAGCTGAGCCCAAGTCTAAAGGGGAAATGACGTTCCAACGAGGAGCCCAAGCCCGGGTTGGGAGTGGGACCCATGAAGACGGGCTAGCCCTCAAGCCAGTTCAACCCGAGCTCAAGCCCGAGGGTTGGGCTGATGTCATTGCTGATGCCAGGCTGGCGTCAACCCACTCATTTTTTTTTCTGTTGCCACATGGCGTCATCTGAACTCTCCAATCAAATTTTTTTCTCTAATCCAATGGCAGCTAACCCGAAAATCTTATCCGAAAATATTATCCAAATTAATTATTGAAAAAATGAATAGTAATTGCCCTTTGCCATGACAACGTGTGGAAACAGAAATGGCTTTTTGCAAGGCAACCACTATTCACATGAATAGTGGCTGCCCTAGCCCTCCATTTGCCATGGCAAATGGTGTGAAGTTGCTCTTACATCCCCTTTTCTTCATTTTTCCTCTCTTTTTTCGGGTGGGTCCTGCCTGCAAAAGATGTAAAAATAGATGCAAATGTGCATTTTATTTTACATCTCCATGGTTGTGATGTATGTTTACAATCATTTACATCTCCCCATTGGAGATTATTCCGGTGACAAAGGGTGTATATTTAACATACACCCCCTTATACACCCTCTCATTGTGGATGCTCTGATGATGATGGACTTAAGATGCCCCAAGGTTCTCTTTTTTGTCTTTTCAAATATTTGCTTCCAAATTAGAGGTGTCAAACGGGCCGTGCCGTGCCGGCCCATCCCATTTAAACTCGTGCTTTTAACGTTTTCGTGTCGGGCCGGACCGACCCATTTAATTTATCGGGCCGTGCCGTGCTAGCCCATTTACTAAAATTATTAATCCCGGCCC